GCTTGCACCTAATTCTAAAACACATTAATTAAATCTCATCCACTAGAGCCACCTGAATCGTTAATGTATCGACACAAACAAAGAAGCAGCGGCACAAAGAGATAACTTGGAAAATAAAAGCACTAACCATACACACATTATTCAAGATCTGGGGATGGTATCAACATTCAGCGGCAATGCTTGCCTATGAACAAGCCAACTTTACACAGTGACGAGACAAACAAGTGCCAAGAAACAAGCAAACACTTGTATACATTGTATAACTCTCACGGAATGCCACATATACTTTTTTTTCCCAATTTAGAAACATTTTACCCTAAAAGAAACATCAGGAAAAGCGCAAAGGTGATGACTCAAAGGTCTATCTGGATCAATGCTCATTTGGAAGTACTGTATATGTATGGACAAGTTTTCTTTCCTGTTTTGAACAATGCTCCATGTCAACGGTAGGCAACATAATATCCTATCAACATTTTGCATGATTAGCTTCTACCCATCTCAGCTGGCATTTCTTCAACTTCAGCCCCAAGAATTCATGAGGAATTCCTTCAGCCAGAATTCTGAGGACTTCATGCTTTATATTTATGTATTATTAAAATTTGTATACAGTATGACCACCATGTCTACAGGATTAGCAACCACAGTTTCACCTATCGATTGCCTGGAAAAATGACAACTAAAAAAAAAAATACCTGTTCCCGAGGTATATTACAAAGACTGACCAATAGATGGAACTGGGGCTATGCTACATAGTATAGGCATCCTTCAGTCTCGAAAGACTATGGTAACATGCTCTGAATCGAGGAGTGTCCTCTCCAGAGCATGAAGCCCGGGTAAGGTAATATGGAGGATAGGCTGTTACCCAAGCAGCAGATCCCCCCTCTCCACATTGCTGAAATGGTCCAATGGAAAGGCAAGAGCCAATGCAACTGGTTCCAGCAATGTCGCAGGAGTTGGCAGAACGACACATGCTGCCTTCGGGACTCCAGCTCCGGATTTTGCCTCGAGGTTACCTCCTGAAGCCTTTTCCATGAGTGGATATAGCCACAAGGAAGTGGAGGTTTGAAATCGGAGCTTAAGGGAAATGCATTCTTGGCCTGATGTCTCCAAGAGAAGCAGCTTCCAGCGAAATGGAGATGCTACATTTACAGAGGCGGGCAAGCAGCAGTTGCTGGATTCAGGGAAGCCTCTCTTGTGAGCAAAGGGCAGGGAATCCAGTCCTGGGCCAGGACTCCCTCTCTCATGGATACCAAAGAAACTGGAAGTGAGTGCTTCGCTTATCCACTATTTCAAGCATCTGCGGGGGTTTGGAACTGTATCCCCTGTGGATACCACAGTCCTACCATATTACATACTGCACATTTATATTATATTATATATTATATGTTGCTCTATCCAATGTAGGGAGAATTGCATACATTTGATAGGGAATTGTACACTCACACCATAATATACATAGAAACTCTGACTCAGAGCCTGACTACACAGACAAAAAAATGCAGGAAATACTATGAATTTGTGGTGCACTGATGTATTTTTTTGTTGTTGTGGATCACATGATGTAAAGGGACGTGTGAATGAGAAGTTCCCCACCCAAATCCAAAGTTTCTCCCCATCTGTAGGCCTCTGCTTTTTAAAAAACTGAATAGATCCGAATCAAAGAAGAGAAAAGGGAAAACCAGCGGTGTGCAGATGCACACACACACACACACACCTTCTTCCTCACTTCTTGCTTCATGATAAAGGAGAAACTGTGCCTGCACACACACACACATGGACACACATCCTTAACCACCAAATCAGTGGCTAATTTCCTTTCTCTCTGCCCAAAGAATACGAAAAACAATCTTGACCTCTACCTAACCCATCATTTAAAAAAATGTATGGGTAATCTATTTTATCTATACTGTTTTATCTATCTTGAAATGTTTTACTTGCTTCCATTTATTTTAAATATTACATGTATGTATCTTATTGGGTCAGAGACTGCAAATAAAGATTAATTGATTGATTGATTGACACACATCCTTTCCCCCCTCAACTCTTTTTTTCCTTACAATTTGTACGTCCTGGAGGAGGGAAGGAATCCAGTACATTGCAAAGTCCAGTCAGAAATATTTTTATCCCACCCCCTGCACTTTAAATTGATTTAATAAGCAGCACACTTATTTACTTGAGGAAAGAAGACTGGGACACCTTTGTGGCGTTTAAGTCTGCTGGACCTCTCAGCAGCTTTTGAAACCATCAACCATAGTATCCTTCTGGACCATCTCTCTTGGATGGGTCTTGGAGACACTATTTTACAATGACTTTGATCCTTTCTGGAAGGGAGATGGTGCTAGGAGCCTCCTGTTAAATACCCTGACCATTGGCCTTCCCCAAGGTTCTGTTTTGTCCCTCAAGCTTTGTAGAATCTACATGAAACTGCTGGGAGAGGTTGACACTCAACTCTATCTCTCCTTTCTATCCAATTCAAAGCAAGCTGTCTTGGTTCTACACTAGTACCTGATATCACGAATGGGCTGGATGAAGGCAATCAAACTGAAACTTAAGCCAGACAAGACAGAGGTGCTCCTGTTGAACCAGAAGGCACATAGGGAATAGGGATGCAACCTGTGCTGGATGGGGTTACACCCCCCAAAAAAAAACTCCGCTTTACAGCTTGCGTGTACTCCTGAATTCATGCATCTGAGGCTGTGACTACACAGCAAGGGGAATTTAATTTCGCTCGCCTGGATGCCCAGGTTTCAGCCATGCCCAGGAGCAGGATGCCCAGGTTTCAGCCATGGCCAGGAGCGTGTTTGCACAGTTAAAACTGGTGAGCTAGCTGCGTCCTTTCTTTGAGATGTCTGATTTGGCTATAGTGATGCATACCTTAGTTACATTTCACTTTGATTACTGTAATGTACTCTACATGGGGCCACTTTTGAAGATGGTTTGAAGACAGCAGATGGTTCAAAATGCAATAGCCAGACTACTGACTGGGGCCAGTTATAGGGAGCATGTAAAGCCCCTGTTACAACAACTGCACTGGCTACTAGTCCGTTTCTGGGTCCCATTCAAAGTTCTGGTCATTAACTAAAAAGGTCTATACGGTTTGTGCCCAGGCTACCTGAAGGACCGTATCTCCCCATATGAACTTTCTCAGTGCTTAAGCTCATAAGAGGACCCTCCTCTTGGTCCCATTGTTACTACAGGCACAGTTGATGGGAACATGAGAGGGGGGCTTCTCTGTGGGTGCTCCCAGGTTACGGAATGCTCTCCCTCGGGAGGTTAGGCTGGCTTCCTCCCTTTTATCCTTCTGACAGCTGAAGGCCCACCTTTTCAGGCAGGTGTTTAAATAATCATGATTGAGTCCCTGAATCTTTTTTTTCTTATGACAGTTTTTCATGTTTTACCTATTTTTAATTATTCAGTTGTATTTTAATCAGTTTTATAGTTTAATGGTTTTTAATGTATCTTACTGTGTTTGTAATTCTATTCCTTTTAATACTGTGAGCCTACTTGATTCCCTTTATCGGGAGAAAGGTGACCTATGGATAAGTTAAATAAATTAATAGGAGTCCCCTCCTGGCTTGCTCTTCAATTTTTTATTTTTATATTTTTCTTGACAAGTAAAGGAAAAGCCGTTTGTGTTTTTACAGCTCACAACAAAGCTAACTATATTACACAGCCTTGATCTCAAACTATCTCATTGTATTAGGCAGTTGGCTTTTGACTGCACCACCTGCTGGTTTACTGGGGGGGAGAGAGAGAGAGGGCTCGCCGCCCCGCCTCCTTGTGTGGCTAGTTAAGGTGGAGAAAACTGGGAAAACCTGAATTCCCTAGTGCAACCTCACAGCTAATGAATGGGAGCGAAATTAAATTCCCCTTGCTGTGTAGTCACGAGTAGGTGCATAAATATGCAATCATTGTTGTTAAATAAGGGAAACTGGTTTCAATCATTCTCCAAAGCAATCAACAAAAATTTCAACACCGTTCATTGTCAACTTTTGGAGCCCAAACATCTGAAATCACACTGCATTTGCTTTCTACACTGTGATCTTAGGAAATAAAAACTGGCAAGGAAGGAACTGACAATTTTTGAATTCAACAGTTTCTGGATGTGTGTGATTCTTGTTTGTCACACTCATCAGTTTTTATTCATTATTAATTAATTATATATGTGTATATATTGCCTCATTAGTGCAGGGCATTATTCTGCTTCTTTCCTCAGAGCTTGGAAATGGTGCTTTTTAAAACTGGCTGTAAAGTGAGCACAGCTGGCTGGATCAACTCAGTGGTTTAGGTATCTGGCAACAGAGTCGGAGGTTGAGAGTTTGATTCTCCACTCTGCCTCCAGCAGGTAGAGCCAGTGTGCGTGTCCCTGGGCAAGCAGGACAGTCCCAGGGCACCCCACAGAAGAGAGGAATAATAAACCACTTCTGAGGATTTCCTACCTAGAAGACTCTGAAAAGGACCACCATAAGTCAGAATTAACTTGATGTCACATGAATATGATTATTATTAAAGTAAGCATACTCAGAATTGCAATTTGACTATTCAATGTTCTTCAAAACCTTCAATATATGCAGACTTCTCACTATCTAGATGTAAACCAATATCAATCCTACATGTAAACCAGGTTGTTAGCATTAGGTTGTGGTTGCAGAAATCTCAGTCTACTATTCCCAGCAGCCCCTACCCATCATGGTCAAGAACATATGATCATGAGAGTTGTATCTAAAACCATCTGGAAGGCCAAAGGTTCTCTACCCCATCCTACCTACAGTAATACATTGATTTGGGATTCCTGCATTGAGGAGAAGGTTGGATTCCAATGGCCTTATAGGCCCCCTCCATCTTCATTATTCTATGGTACTATGATCTTGTGTTCACCCATGTACCACAAAGCCAAGAAACTGAATGCAAAGACTGATAGCTTAACAGACATTCAGGGTGACTCCTGCTGAGAATGGCTGGCTAACATATCCGATGGCGTTTTGCTACAAGATACTTGCCGTCCACACACGATGGTCTGTTCCGCGTTGTCCCAGCCACTTTCCCAGGTAGACAGGAGCATTTTACTGTTTGTGATCTCTCCTCAATCCGATTCTTATTACAACATCTATGCGCTGCTATAACTTCACACGTTCCTCCTTCTGAAAACAAAGGCAAAACAAACAAAAAAAGACGCAATGATTAGGAAATCTTCTCTGGACAATAAAAAAAATAAACCAAGAGAAGAAACAAACATGGTACAGTACTTCACACCTTTAGTACAGAAGAAAGTGCTTCCAACATGTGATGTGTTTCTTTTTTTCAACACAATTGTGCTATTTATTATTCACACCATTCATTGGTGACTTTTACATCCTGTTTTTCATCCAGGGAGCTGGAAGTCAAGCTTGTAGTCCACCATGTGTCCCAGCTTTTAGCACACACTACTTCTTCACTACTTATCTCCACAACAGTCCTGTGCAATAGGCCAATTTCGGAGGCAGAGATAGAGAGACAAGTCATCCCATGACAGTGATTCATTAGGGACTAGAATGTGGGTCTGCCAGGCCCCGATCATGGCCCCACACTGGCTCTCGTGGTGTGTTTATCTAGAACACCAGAATCAAGGGAGGCCACCAACAGCGTGACAATGAGATAAAGAATGCTGCCTTCCTGTCCGTCCTTTGCAGAGGTCAGGTTGTACTGCAGTGGTGCTCATTAGAATGACTTAATGCCACAGCTGCAGAACTAGAAACTGACTAGTCAGCTTTGTAAGACACTCACAGTTCTCCTTCTGTAATATTAGTTATAGTCTCCTGATCATCACCGGTGCCAAAGGCCAAAACCACAATATACTCCTAAAATATCCTTATTCTGTGTATCTAAGACCTTTTTGAACCACACAGTAGGATGAGAAGAATAGGAAGATGAGGCATGTCACCAGGTGAGTGCACTCCCCATAAATGCAGTGAGCCGTAAGTCCAGAATACATTAAAAACATAATGGCTAGATGATTAGAGTTCATATATGCCATCTAACAGGTAGCCGATTAAATACTCTCTCATACAAGTACAGTATTTGCCCATGTCATTGACTTTCAGTAACAATTTTATCTCCAGCACGTAAGCAAAAATGCGTAAGTATAAGTGGCCGGTTTCTTCTGCAAGCAGAATGAGTCTATCACGGACTACCTGATTTCTGTTGCACATTTTGTCAAATCATATTTGCATGCATATGCAAAATGTTGAAAAGCTGCATGAGAATTTTGTGTTCAAATTTAGGATTCAAAAAAAGAAAAGAAAAAAGAAAAAAGAAAAAAAAAAGGGTTGCAGCTCAAACCTGCACCAGTATCAGACTTGCCAGATAAATGTGAGGCCAGGAGTCCATCAACTTTCATGCCATGACAGTGGATGTTTAGTTGTGTATAGGTCACATAGCAGAAAAATTGTGAGCAATGGTTTATCTGTACATCTGTAACACTAATCCCATAAAAGAGCTATCTCGTTACTGTATTCGCAAAGGCTTTCATGGCCAGGATCTAATGGTTGTTGTGGGTTTTTCGGGCTCTTTGGCCATGTTCTGGAGGTTGTCCTTCCTAACGTTTCGCCAGTCTCTGTGGCCGGCATCTTCAGAGGACAGCACTCTGTGCTCTGGTGTAGTTTGTTTGGGAGTTGAGTCATTGCTATTGTTCAAACACTGCACAGCCATATGGGAGCTATTATAAAATATTTGTGTAATGAGTCCTTGCTCTCAGAAGTAACAACTTCTTCTTGGTCTATCCTTAACTTTCACACACTGAGCCAAGCATTCGAACAGACTGAGATGATCCAGATACACCTGTGCAAGGGCAGTGGGAGAGAAGGGCTGATAGAAGCTACACTCCAACAACATCTGGAGAGACACCATTGTGAACTCCTGGTGTTGTTGTCATTATAAGCTACACTAGTGGCCAGACTTGGTATAAGACAGTTTCCTACATTTTCTCTGTGGGTGATATTCAAATAAAAAACAATGCACAACACTGTGAGGGGACCTGTGCTAGCTAGTTTGAGAAAAACAGACACAGAGTTCTCCCTCCCTCTCTCTCTCTCTCTCTCTCTGCGCGTGTGTGTGTGTGAGTGAGAGAGAGAAGTTGAACACAAACTATAGAGCAAGAAAAATGTGTACTGTTCAAAACTGATAAATAAACTCTGTAGCATCACTATTAGAGCCATCCTATTTCTTCAGAATTGGTCTCTATCAGTTTACAACTTTACATTTTTGTGTCCAGCTGCATTAAGCAAACAAACAAGCCCCAAACTGGCAGAGAGGCAAGAATAAGCTGCCATTTGAAGGAAACTCTTGGGACTGTGTGGGTAAACACCAAATGTTTGGGGGTTTTGCCTTTTGAAATACCTCTACTGGAATCATAGAATCATGAAGTTAGAAGCAGCCTATAAGGCGATCCAGTCCAACCCCCTGCTCAGTGCAGGGGGAAATCTAACATGGCCAGCGCTCTTGGTTTCTGGGAGCTACAGTCAAATACAAGAAAAAGTTCTCCTTCTCTTTGTATGACTGTCTGCTGACTGACAGGTAACCAAGACGTAGAGGAGTAACAGAGAATCTCTGGCCCTTCAGACTTAATCCTATTCTCAACAATCTCGTAGAGCTCTTGGTTAGAGGCTATGGAAGTGATAATCCAAGACATGTGCAGAACCCCAGTCTTCACCCCTAACTTTGAAGCTAGACTACCAGAAAGTTTTTAATGGGTGTGGCAGAGACATTGTATGGCATGTGACCAAGCTATTCAGGGGACCAGTCCGGTTTGAGGCACTGTGGAAATTAAACTGTCTTGGGTCCTTTAAAGAAAAAAGGTGAGGTAAAAATATTTTAAACAAACAAGAAAAACAAATTTGTATGAGAACATGTCCCTAATATCAGCTGTTTCTCCCCAACTTCCTGTTTTCATCCTTTCTCCATGTTGAGGCAACATTGTGTTGACACAGTTGTTTTTGCAAATGAACCTAAAGGCCAACTACCCATTTTAAATGATACATAAAAAGGCTTCCATCTAAGAGTGACCCCCTTAAAGTTTTGGGGAAAGTCTGATGTAAATTTTAAATATTTAGGTCTTCAGCTTTCAGAAGGAGTACATCAAAACCAGTTGATGCCTGTTAAGGTAAAAGACCTTAGCTCAGGTACTCGTGGGCCTCAGCACTGATGAGCTTGCAGACCGAAGGCAAGATGGACCCCACTGTTAATATTTAATTCCTCTCATCAAGGGAACATTTTCCTGTATGGTGCAGAAACCATCTTTATATGTCCCTGACACAGCTCTTTTCTGAAGGAAAAAAAATTCAGAGTGTGGGTTAAAACGCTATCACCGTTATGCCCTATTAGGCCATCCAGATCACTTATTGCAGAAAGGGAACATGAAAAGACTCACATCTCTCGGGAGCTGCCCTTAGATTCTTTCCGAGAATTGTACTCACGCCATGATAATGCCAAGCAGAGCTTGGAAAAGGTACTTTTGGGGGGACTGCAGCGCCTGCATTTTTGAAAGCTGTGGCATTCGTTTGCAGACTCTGAAAGCTGTAGTCTAAAAAAACTCCATTTACGTGTCAGAGCTCTGACTCCCATCTCAGGAACAGAATCCAACCGAGATGCCAAGTGCAGAAGCTGCTGCAGTGATTTGGATGAAGCTGGCCCATTTGGTCATGTCCCTGCTTGTGCCACTGGGTGACACAATCAGGCACACAGCCCTATGCAACTGGCATCTCTTCAGATTGCAGCAGGATGTTCCACAGTGTCTTCATTCTGCACTGAAAGTTCAGGACATTTCAATGCACTTTTCTCATTGTGCGCATTTGAGCTCTGTGCTTAAATACACCCTAATTTCATTATCAATACCTCTGGGTTTAATATTCTCTGCTTAGTTTTTATTAACAGTGAAGGAATATGATGTTGCATGCCAAAGAATAGCAACATTGACATAGATGAAGGGACAAGATAAAGATTTTATAAATGTACATTCAAGTTTATAGACGAAAAAAAATGATTATTGACTCGTGTAACAGCTTCCAAAGAGTCATTATTGTCTGTGTCATAAATGCATATTTAGGGACTTGTATAAAAATATGCATTATTGACCTCTGAGGCTGTAACCACGCTAAAAGTTTAAATCACTGTCACAAAAGACAGGGAAGGTGCCTCTGAACATTTTACGGTCTGCTGAGCCAACACAGCTTCTGGCTGAGTCTGTAAAGCATGTTCCAACCTCTCTTTTGACTTGGGGTGGGGGAGATATTGGTGCTTACCGCAAATTCATCTGAAATACGTTGAGATATTGGTGCTTACTGCAGATTCATCTGAAATATGTTGAAAACTGAAGTTACTTTTATTGAAGCTTTTGCAATCCCTACACAGTGTCCCATTGTTGCTGTAACTACTGCATTTGAAAGTGAGTGAGAACATTTATTAGAGGTCAATGAATATCTGCTAGGAAGTAACTATAGTTTACCTCTAGCATTATGTGAGTACAGATGGCAATTATTTTGAAGTAATTTCTCAAAGTAATATACTAAAGAAGTGTAAGCATACAGTATTCCCTGATTTAATTCTCCCCCCCCCGTATAATATATTAAAGATGAGAAGTCTAAATTATTGAGGAGACATTTACAATTTTAATACTATGAATTTGCTCTGTTTTGAGGTACAGTCATCACTAGTCATAGAACTGGAAGGGATTTCTAAGTCTGTCTAGTCGGCCTGATCCTGGGATCCTCTGCTCCACATCTCTAATATTTAGCTATCCACTCCATGCTTAAGAATCTTGAATGAAGGAGAATCATGTGGAGAGTGCAAGAAAACTGCAACAGCCTGGAGGAAAGCAATTTTTTATAAGTTTTTAAAAATCTAAATTTAGCTAAATTGGGTGGATTAATAAGGGTATCCTGCTGGAACAGGAATCAGCACAAGAAACAAAGAAATTGTTGCTATTTGAAGTAATAGGGCAAATCTGAAGGCCCTAACTATGTTATGCTCTAAATCTCTCCCTATTTCATGTTCTCCATATTCATGTCAATTCATATTTTTCCATATTCCTGGAACACTAACTAGCCAGTATTGGATGTTAAAAAAGATAATGAGGACCCCATTTTTTGGGAATACCCTCTCCTTTCTA